TTATTTGAGTTAGCATTATATCCTCAAAGTTCATCCCTATTATTGCAAAATTAAAAGTAGAACTACCATTTGATCCAGTAATCCCACTTCTGGACATTTATCCAAAATAATTGAAATCAGGATCACCAAAAAGGAGTAAACCAACATACATATTACCAAGTGAAAAAAGCCAATCTACAAAGGCTACTTACTACTACGACTACATGTGCAAAAGGCATATTAGCCCTCCTATATTTATTGCAGCACCACTCAAAATAGCCAAAGTACAGAGACAACCTATGAGCCCATAGACAGGTTAATGGATAAAGAAAATGTATATGTATACAAAAGAATGCTATTCAGCCTTTAAAAGAAGGAAATTCTGTAATATGCAAAAAAAACCCACACAAAACAATTCATCGTAACACGCAAATATATTTATTTTCTGATGGTGGTAGTTCTTTAAAGGTTAGTTGCATGTGAAATTGGAAACCAAATCAATGAACTCTCTATACTCTGTAAATTAAAATCCACTTCTCTAGCTTGCACTTTGAATGGATCTTTTACCTATGCATGATTCTTTTTATTGACTTCAGAGAGGAAGGGAGAGGGAGAGAGAGATAGAAACGTCAATGATGAGAGAGAATCATTGATCGGCTGCCTCCTGCATGCCCCCTACTGGTGATAGAGCCCGCAACCTAAGCATGTGCTCTGACTGGGAATTGAACTGTGATTTCCTGGCTCATAGATTGATGCTCAACCACTGAACCACACTGTCCTGGCCCTATGCATGATTTTTAACATCATGCTTTGGTCATTTAGAAAATGGTAGCTTAATGAGTTATTCATATTTTCCAAACATTGACACACATATTGAAAGGTCACATTTGTTAATGTCACCTTGAAGCTCATCAAAAAATCCTTAAGTATTGGGATAATAACTTTTTCAAAATTCTAGTTATGACTTGAAAGTGCAAATCTCTCATTGACAACAAATCAGTCGTTGACCTAGGTGTGATAGATTCACTCACTTCCTTTATTTTTAAGAAAATGGTCTGCCATAGACCCAATCACAATATCCACTGTTTGCCAGACATGGTGTGTTTTATTGTTTTGTGTGTTTTTTTTCAAGTGAAAATGGTGTTTCAAGAAAAACCAGCTGGTTTGCCCTGCAAATCAATCATGCCGGTACTTTTCCTTAAAAGAATTATTATAGTATAGTATGCAGCTGACTTGCTAGATACGCATTTCCCATTTTGACACACAGAATTGTAAAAGTTATTTATATAAGGGTCAAAATTGGATAAAATTATCCATCAAGGATCAAGAACATTCTTAAATAAAAGTGCATTGTTCTTGCTGTGATATATGGCGCTAAAGAGCACAATAACCGCCAGCAGTTTGGGGCCACTGCCTTTAATTATGCGAACGCACCAGAACTTTTACCCACCATTGTTCTTTCACCATCTGGGCAAATGTCAACACAGTGAAGAACGTAAATTATGTCTTAGGCTTATAAAGCACTTCAGACCTTGTGAATTCCATGAAAGGATCCTGCTGGAATAATGTTTCTAAAGCACAATTCTTGTCACGTCACTTCCCTGCTCAAAAGGCTCAATTGTTTATCATTGCCCACAGGGAATTTTTAAAGACTGAACTTTTCCACCTAGGATTTAAAGTTTACACTATCTGACATTAATTTATCTCTTCGTTCCATATGCTCCTTTATGCAAACTGGCTCTAACCAGTGGTTCTCAACCTTCCTAATGCCGCGACCCTTTAATACAGTTCCTCATGTTGTGGTGACCCCCAACCATAAAATTATTTTCATTGCTACTTCATAACTGTAATTTTGCTACTGTTATGAATCGTAATGTAAATATCTGATATGCAGGATGTATTTTCATTGTTACAAATTGAACATAATTAAAGCATAGTGATTAATCACAAAAACAATATGTTGCCTGCAACCAAGGTACATGGCCTTGACCGGAATAGAACCTGGGACCCTTCAGTCCGCAGACCGACGCTCTATCCACTGAGCCAAACCAGTCAGGGCTTCATTGCTACTTCTTAACTGTAATTTTGCTACTGTAAACAATATGTAATTATATATGTGTTTTCCGATGGTTTAGGCGACCCCTGTGAAAGGTTCATTCGACCCCCAAAGGGGTCGCGACCCACAGGTTGTGAACCGCTGCTCTAGACCAATGAAGTTATTGCTAGGTCTGTTATAAGCCGTGGGAGTTCCCAGTTTCTTTCAGTGGATGATGCTATTTCCTTTGCCCTCTCACATTCTTGATATACGGGTCCTGCCTTTTTTCAAGATGCAACTCAAGTGGATATGATAGATCCCCCTTCTGAAGGCACACACCACTGGGTACCTCTCCCATGTCACTTATTTTCTACCTGGCAACACCACCTCACACTCCCAGGTGCCCAGCCGGATGCCTTACATGCAGTCAGTGCTCAATAAATTCTTGTTGAAGAAAGAAGTGTTGGTTGCATTGAGCTATTCGTTTACAAGTTTCACTGCAGCTGCCAAATGAGATTTCTGGCTGATGTTAGGGTTAATGTTCCCTGAATAAGGTTCTTTTTGCTGTGAAGCTTATTACAGTACAAGGCAATTCAACTCACAACATTGATCTCCTTAGCCAGTCTGTTCTCCTTAACATTCTCAGACTTGTATAAACGTCTGCCAACCGAAAGTGTGAGGATGCTAAAACACTTTGAACTGTGTAGAAGAGTATTGATTTTTTTTAAAGCTTTGTTTCAAGGTTTATTGAAGCAAAAGTCTCATTTCGTTATTTTCCTTGGATATCTAGTAAGTTGCTCAGAATAATGAATTATCCCTTACACATGCCATCGTACTATTTTTCCTCTGATTTCCAACTTAAATAGATTATGGACCATAATGAAGAAGCATAGTTTGATTATGACATGCCCATACCTAAGTCATTTCATGTGGATGATTATTTAATACAAGAGCAAGTTAAATGTGCTGCATATGAATGGCATTGGAGACTAATACAAGCTTGTTTTTGAAGGAATTTCAGAGGGCGAGTTTCTTCTCACAGAAGCCCCTAAGAAAAATTTAGAATGTAAAAACAAAATGAGGTTTCAGTTCATTTCTCCATTTTCTGTCTAAATTGGGATACAACTGCCCATATTGTGTCTTTAGAGATTACAGGTATGGAAGGATAAGGTACATGCCTTATCTAGAAACAAATAAGAATTGGTGCCTATTTTACTATCTTTTGAACCTTGAGAAATGTGCATCTATTTTCTCTCTATGTAAAATGGTATTTGTAATGAATACATCAAAGGACTTATGAGTAAAAGTAAAAGCCTTCTATGATTAGCAATTAAATCATTACTTGAAGGGTTCAATGAAATGTATTCCAGTATGAGTGAGTCCAGCATAAGTCCTTGCTGTGCTACGTCCAGTGGTTGAGAGCATAGTCTTGCAGACTCTGTATCTTCCATATCTGTCTGGAACCAGAATTCAGATGTACCCCTGAAGTCTGGATGACTTTACAAACTTTACTAAGTAGTGCATAAGGATCCATTACACTAATGGTAGTGCTGCTATTAAGTTTGACAGCAAAATCCAGACAATCTAAGGCAGTGGTTCTCAACCTTGGCTGCACATTAGAATCACCTGGGAATCTTTTTAAAATCCTGATTAATCAGGATTTTAAAAAGATTCCCAGGTGATTCTAATGTGCAGCCAAGGTTGAGAACCACTGCTTTAATCACTGATGTCCTCGTGACTACCATCCCTATTGTCAGGTGGGTGGCTGCTGCCAGGTATTCCCAAGAGTCCGTGGGTGCAGTTGGGTCTCTGAGTTAAGTCACTCCAACCACAACTAGACCTATTCGGTTCTTTTGGGGAGATTATTTTCCAGACATTGGGGTGAGGGGGAAGGGTGATCAGTCCCCTTCCTTACCCATTGTTTTGTTTAGCCTAATGTGCACCAAGCCAGCTGACTCTAATCAGGCTCACGGGCTCTCCCTTACAATATAAGCTACAGGAAAATTTGTTGGGGACAGTTACCCTTGCTTCTTGGACCTAGAGTTTCTGCTTCATTTACCAGAATACTTGACTTAGTTCAGAAGCCAGACCTGATGCCTCTTTCTTTGTGCCTCCGTGGTGGTTGTGCATTGTAACAAGGCTCCCCTTCGGGTTCCATTGACTTCGGGCTTTCTCTGCAGCAGCTTCCTAATGTACATTTGAACAAGTTCTCACTCAGAAGGAAGGAAAATATAAAATTCTGCTCTTTCTTAAGTACTTCTCCAATAGAAATGTGAAATTTAATTTGCTAGAAGGTGCCTACTTATTACAAAATACATTAGTTCATTCTCTCCTGAACTCACAGTAAATGCAAGAGTTTCTTCCTCCACAAACTATTCTATGTGGATTTTCTTTGTACTCTGATTTTTTCCCCTGAATAGCAGACATTTCTATTTAAAATATTATTTTGTTCATTTTGGGACTTGGAACCTAGATGCAGATACCATCAACTAAAATAGTTAATTATTAAATTAAGGAAGGTATCAGCTCTGGTACTTCTCTACCCCACCCCCACCCCCAATGTTACAGTTGAGGTCATTCCCTAAACACTGACCATTTCAGTTTTTGTTGAAAGAGTCCTGAACAATTTAAGAGAAGGTGAGCAGAAATCCAATGGAGTAGAACAAAAATGAATTGTTGAATTAATTAATTAATTAATTAATTAATACAGTAGCTGCCGATACCAAGGGAGGAATGTATATGTATGTTATACTTATTAGTAGCTTACTACACTTTATTACATTATTTGATAAATATTCCATATAAATAGATTTTAGTGGACTTTTGTGAGATGGAATAATTCAATTGATAGAGTTAAGGTGACAGCGTTTGGCCTTCCCATCCCATGTAAACTGTACAAGTAGTATAAGTAGTGTGTGTGCTCTTTCATCTTTTTGAATGCCCTTTAATGCTATATATATTGTTTTATTTATTATGCTTTGCCTAGTTGGATACACAATGAATGATCTCATTTTTGAATGGCAAGATGAGGCACCTGTACAAGTGGCAGAAGGACTCACTCTGCCCCAATTTCTGTTGAAAGAAGAGAAAGATTTACGATACTGCACTAAACATTACAACACAGGTATGCTTCATTACAACTTGTGGTTTTATGGTAGTCAGATGTTTCTTAATTGTAGTGCTAGGTTAATTATTTTCACTATTTATAGCTCAATGTTTTCCATAGTAATGGAGTAGAAAATGGAAAGTTACAGGTGCTTTGACTTATTGCCTATTGTTATATAACCAGTCTGTATGGGACCAAAGAAATGTTTGGTGTTTAATTACATTTACATATTTTTGTGAAAAGCTCATAATTACATAGTAATGATGTTTCCAAAAAAGTTTCTTTAATTTCTATGTGAATAATAAAATTTACTTTTAACGCTTCTTGGGACATAAACATTGTGTTTGTTAACAAAATGAAAGAAATTGCTTTTTTTTACATTTTTAAGACATCAGTTGTCTAAAGTTTTGGCCACAATTTCATGCATTTAAGGTATTGGTACTTAAGCACCTACTATTCACACTGACACAGTTATCTTTTGCCTTTGAGGATAGAAGCCAAATACAGTTATTCACATAATGGATTGAAAGATTCAGTACATTCATGAGATCTGTTCACCTCTCTCAGCTGACACGGGGGGTATTCCATAATATCTACACTAACTGTCTAACCTATTCCTACACATTCTGTTAAACTGTCCTCCACGGAGGCATCCCTCCTATGTGGTTAATGCGTGGCCTCCCACCTGCATCAGCTGCTGTCTTTATCACTTTATTACAGTAACTGATTCTTCTTGGGCTCAGCATTTCCCAGAACTGTGATCTGACCTTTTACTATCCAAGGCCTCTAATCTTTTTTACCTCTTAATCAATTCACAGTCAGGCGAAAAAATCGCTGCCATTTTCTCACCCCCTCCCACAGTTCTTCAGGAGTGAGGCTCATATTAATTTAGTAGAGAGTTCAAGTTTAAATCTACACAACAACAACGAGCAGACAGGTCAACACCAGTGTCCTTGCTCAACCCTCTAGGGGAAGTTTTAATGACAAAGAACTTCCAGAAAAATGCTAAAAAGTATCTAGAGTTGGTTTTGGGTGATGAATTCGTTTCTTCAGGCCGCTGTAACAAGGTGGCACAAACTTGGTAGTGTCTCTTGCGCCAAACCCTCTTCTGCTTCTCCTTGCCTTGCTCTGTAAATGGTTACAGTGGCTCACCTTCTCCTATCCGCCACGCTCATTCCTTCTTTAGGTCCTTTGTACTTGTCTTTCTTCTATGCACAAGCCTCTTTCCCCAAATTATCCCAGACCTAATACTCTCACATACTTCAGGGCTGCTCTTCAAATGACCCTTCATCACCAGCACAGGTTAAACACCCAAATCCACTCCCTCCCTCCTCCTGTTTTCACTGTCTCAAATTATACCTTCAATTGACATGTTTACTTATATATTATCTGTTTCTCTCATTACCATAAATTAATAAAGCTAAGGATTGTATCTCTTCATTTCTGTATGTCTGGGATCTGCTAAAGTACACAGATGCTCAAAAAATATTTATTGAGTAAAATAATAGAGTGGATTTTAACATGGAAAATTTGTCTGTACATGTGAGAATACTAAAAGCCTGTCCACCCCAGGAGGAAGGGGGAGAGGAACCGTTTTACCCTAAACAGGAAAATTTTCCTTTCAATCTGTATCAACAAAAATGCTTCCTCTTCAATTTTATTGAGGGATAATTGACTAAAATTATAAGATTATCAGTGTACAATGTGATGATTTGATATAAGTATACACTGTGAAATGATTCCCCCCATTGAGTTCATTAACATGTTCATCACCTCCCATATTTACTTGATGTGTGCATGCAAAAACATTTAAGTTCTCGACTCCTAGCGAATTTCAATTATACAGTACAATGTTACCAGCTATAGTCACCATGTTAAACATAGCCTCACAATGAGGGCTTCTTTTTCTTGAGAATCATATGAACTGTAAAGAATGTATTCAAAGTACCCAAATGGTTAGCAATTGTTACTGATTACACCATGAGATTACTTGAGTTATTTAACAGTTATATCATGAAAATGCCTTATTATTCTTGCTCTATTTCATTTCATTATTTTAAAGAAAAACTTAAAAATTATATTTTAAGAGTTTTAAACATCTAAAGTATTTTCATATACTCTAAGAATGGTTTAACATTCTGTATGTATTTGATAAATTCATGAAAGGATCATGTGTAGCTGGCATATATGTTTCTGACTACTAGACACTTAAGTGTGGAATCCAACTTTCCCAGAGTTTATGAAACTCTGTAAAGACTTTTAAGCTCTGGAATCTCATCCATCCCTTCTTCCTGCAGCCCAGACCATGCAATACTGTAGCACGTGGCTCAGGTCACAATAATAGAAATTTTGTACTGAACCCTACACTAGCAATATATATATACTAGCAATTTTCCCAGCTGTGCTCTCTGATTCTTTCTCTTATAATAAGATTACAGAATGTCCCTTAAAGAAAGACCAGTGTGCCAACTCCCTGACCTTATCCTTCTTAAAATAGTTTGAATAAGGGAAGAATAAAACCAAGAGTTAGATGATTAAGATAAACAATTATTTTAAGGAGAGGTAACATGGCAATAGAGTAGGGAATAGAACCAGGGGATAAGCAGAAATGTCAACAAAATGTTTACTTAAACCACAATTTATGCCTCTATTAATTACTCTAACAGAGACACAAAGGCGTGAATATATAAGACAAATGTATCTTAGGTGTCTTTTTATTAGGTGTGTTCTTAAGTTATCTTTGAAGTTATCAATGGGAAATAATATGTTTTCCTATTTTTTAGCATTAATAGTTTCTATATTATCAATTCATAAAATAAATTACAGATATTGCATTTAAGGAACTATTCAACTTCAATTGTATTTATCCTTTAGCACTGACTTTAAAGTCAATGTAAAGGCTTCTGGAACAAATAGTAGTACCTGACTCTAAATCAGCTGTGGGCAAACTACGGCCCGTTTGAAA